AGGCTAGAATTTCGCACAACGTGCACTTCTAGTAATTTCCCCTGGTCTCTGGGTAGCAAGATCGGACGCCTGTGTGTATTGTTAAGCACGTTTAAATAAAATTCCCTGGCAGTTGGAAATCGAAAAGTGTAGCCTAACGGCGCTGCGCTGCCCGGGCAAAATTTAGAGTTGAAAATCTATCCGAAGTAATTTCAGGACCCCCGCTGGTGCTACGGAGTTAGTGCACATCAGCTGAGACTTCGGACTAAGGAGTGAGTTATAAAAAAAACGGAGCACTAGTGGGTTACTACCCTTGTGCCATGATGTTGACCCGTTGTTTAAAGGACCTAAACCTAATCTTTCAGTGCCGATCATTTATCAAGTAGTCCTTGCCTTCTATAGGGCAGATTCTCTCTATGGCAGATGACAGAGCAGAGAAAACTGAGTGCACAATGACACAAAAGAGCTGAATGGTTGGAAGACCACGAGGCAGACCAAGAAGACGATGGAGAGGTAATACCAATGCAGACCTACACAAACTTATAGTCAACAACTGGAAAGAGAAGGCCATTCACATACATGGATGGAAGCGGGTGATATCTGCTGCACTGAAACTCATGTGCTTGGAATGCCAAAGAAGAAGAAGATGAAGAAGGAGAAGCATAAGGAGAAGCATAAGCAGAAGAAGAAGAAGAAGAAGAAGAAGAAGAAGAAGAAGAAGAAGAAGAAGAAGAAGAAGAAGAAGAAGAAGAAGAAGAAGAAGAAGAAGAAGAAGAAGAAGAAGAAGAGGAAGAAGAAAAAGAAGAAGAAAAAGAAGAAGAAGAAGAAGCAGAAGCAGCAGGAGGAGGAAGAGGAGGAGAAGGAGAAGAAAAAGAAGAAGAAGAAGGAGGAGGAGGAGGAGGAGGAGAAAAAGAAGAAGAAGAAGAAGAAGAAGAAGAAGAAGAAGAAGAAGAAGAAGAAGAAGAAGAAGAAGAAGAAGAAGAAGAAGAAGAAGAAGAAGAAGAAGAAGAAGAAGAAGACGAAGAAGAAGAAGAAGAAGAAGAAGAAGAAGAAGAAGAAGAAGAAGAAGAAGAAGAAGAAGAAGAAGAAGAAGAAGAAGAAGAAGAAGAAGAAGAAGAAGAAGAAGAAGAAGAAGAAGGAGGAGAAGAAGGGGTGGACGTGGAAGAAGACTCTCCCTCAGACAGGTTTTATGGTAACTAAAAACTTCCAGGTCAAAAAATCTTACAACAACCGTTCTTGGAGAGAGAGGGAGTCAACAATGGGAACTGTGTGGGTTAGTCCCTTGCAGTGGTTTTCAGCCTATGGGTCGCGACCCTTTTGGGGGTCGATCGAGCCATCCACAGGGGTCGCATAAGACCATCGGAAAATACATAGTTACTGAAGTTTTAAAATACCAAAGAAAATAATGTTATGGTTGGGAGTCTCCACAACACGAGGAACTGTTTTAAAGTGTGGCGGCATTAGGAAGGTTGAGAACCATCTGGTCTACTGTAACAACTGGATGTGGCATGAGGGGTTACGGAAGAAAAGTCATGTAAGTAGAACCCAGCAGACGCATGGTGAGTTACTGAGTACCGAAAGAGTTAATAAGCATGTTGTAAAAAGCGACAATTTGATGATCTGCTGGAATGAGCATAATCTTCAGACAATTACATGATACACACGCGCGGTGTTGGACCCCCCCCCCCCCCCCACCCCCTCCCCCCCCCCCAAAGACAAGAAAGAATAGACTCACTGCCCTCTCCCTCACAAACATATAGTCAAAGTCGACTAATCAGGGATGCTTCCATCAAAGTCGGAGTGAATCTGCACGAGTGGCAAGGAACCAACAGTCTGCTGCATACAAACAAGCCAGATCTAGATCTGTTAACTGGATGTGCACGCAAAACTCAAGTTTGAGAATGAGAGCACAGTCCATAAGTGGATGAACAACCAGAACTTTCCGCCAGAGTTTACAGCCGGTAAACGCCAACAATGAAGAAGGAACCAAACACACCAAGACATACAAAGCCAACATTAGCACCAACAATTCAGTGTTAAATTAGGCGCAAACAAACCAAGACCATAATTATAATGAAGGCTGTTACAGCAGATTAAACATGCTCATCTTTGTTTTTTGGACAACTGGCATTGGAGTTAATGGGTATCTGATGAAAGTAATCTGTACCCGTCAAATCATCCGGGTTTTTCCCTGACACAGGACACGACAAGAGCAGTTAGCACCACTAGAAGCAAAGATGGTCGGATATCTGCACTGGTTGATTGCTTGTTTGGATACCTGCTGAAAAAAGCTTCGATTTAAACTGCATGGACTTCAAAGGTGTGTTGTGCCAAAAGTTGTGGTTTACTGTCCACAGCTCAATTCCAATTATAATTCGTGAGAAACAAAAATTCCAAACGTTTCTCTTTCAGCCACCCGAAGGTATGCTATATTGAGGATGGTTTCTTGGCTATCTTTTCAGGGTTCCGATTCTTTGCGGTGTGTAGTCAAATCTGTTATTCATTTTATTTGTCTCACACGTCCGGTGTTGTTTTTTAGAGTCCTTGGTTGGTATGGTTTTCTTGTTCCTTATCCCTGTGGGTTTTTGCTGTTTCTTTGCTGGGGTTTGGCTTGTCGAGTGTACTAGTTGCTGTGCTGGGGCTTAGCTTGCCGCGTGTACTGGTCGCTGTGCTGGGGCTTAGCTTGCCGCGTGTACTGGTCGCTGTGCTGGGGCTTGGCTTGTCGCGTGTACTGGTCGCTGTGCTGGGGCTTCGCTTGTCGCGTGTACTGGTCGCTGTGCTGGGGCTTGGCTTGTCGCGTGTAATGGTCGCTGTGCTTGGGCTTGGCTTGTCGCGTGTAATGGTCGCTGTGCTGGGGCTTGGCTTGCCGCGTGTACTGGTCGCTGTGCTGGGATTTGGCTTGTCGCGTGTACTGGTCGCTGTGCTGGGGTTTGGCTTGTCGCGTGTACTGGTCGCTGTGCTGGGGTTTGGCTTGTCGCGTGTACTGGTCGCTGTGCTGGGGTTTGGCTTGTCGCGTGTACTGGTCGCTGTGCTGGGGTTTGGCTTGTCGCGTGTACTGGTCGCTGTGCTGGGGTTTGGCTTGTCGCGTGTACTGGTCGCTGTGCTGGGACTTAAGCTCCAGGTGTTGGTTTCTGCTCCACGGTTTCAAGTACACAAACATTTCAAAGCTTCGCCAATTCCGGTGTTCCTTTTCGGGACAGTTTGTGTCCATAGCTGTATGGTGTGATGGTTGTGTCCCGTCTGAACATGTCTGGGGTTCTTTCTGCTTGTCCAGTTGTGCCACTCCGATTTTGTTTTGCGTGTCTTATCAATTGACTGTGCCGCCTCCTGTGTCTTAAGTATGCCTGTAATGATAAATGAGCTGTTCTCCTTCCATCTTATGTGACGATAGTATTCCTGAGAGTGTCTTTACTCTGTCCGTTTTGGTTGCCTGTCGCCTCTGGTTGTGAGCTGGCAATTCGCCTGCTTTAAAAAACGTGTGACGCTAGAGAAGCGCTGCCTGAGAAAGAAGCAAACAATTTCAAGGGCCGATCAAGTAAGTAAAATGAACCTTGTCGACGCCTCTAAGTTTTTTTTTTTTTTTTTTTAAAGTTTAGAACTTCAAGTTACATTTTCTGTGATGTCAGTGAAATAATGCAGCCTAGAACATGATCATCTGGCTCTTTCTCTTCTTATCATTTCCCAACTCGAAGTGTTTGCATCGCTTGATCGGAAGCTGTTTTCTGTATTTGCATTCTGTGCATTCCATTCGCAGCACAGTCTTTCTTGTGGTCTTGGTCTTCTTTCTTAACACAGGCTTAGACTGACCACCATAACCGCTCTGTTTCCGGTCGTTACGTCTTTTACCTTGTGCGCCCAGTGAGACTTTCCCTACTTTGTAGTGTGTCACTTTGTAGACTGTGTTTTTTGCATTGTTTGCCCTTGTAAAATGTGCAGAACGTTCACCATGGTTAGATTCACATATTTTCTACGTCTTTAAGTGTCATGGGCATACAGGGCTAGATGTATATTTCACAGAACCAATCGGCACCCGGTGGGTGATGTGGTTAATATCGCATCGGCCGCCTTTACTAAACAGGGCTTGACCTGGCACCCGTTTAAGGATGGGTCGACCTAGGAGCCAAGCTCATTCCTAGAAGCGGGAGAGCTTTAATCATACAGGCGGTGATGGGAGCGACGTTCTGTAAACGGCCTGCTCCCTGATGATGGTTATGGGGAGGGGAGCAGCAGGTGACAACATCTGGAGCAAAGATGGTCAGATATGTCAGCCAGCAGTTGGCTATCTTTAAAACAGTGGTCTCCAACCTGAGGATAAAATAGGGGAAAAGGGGGGGGGGGGGGGAGTTTCAAGGGGACGCCTCAAACTAATTTAAAACTAATATGAAATAATCGGGATTTTCAGCTTTAACAGTCATAAAAACAAAACAGCGCTGCCAGCTTGATGTGGACAGTGATCTGCATTGTACCTTGTCCAACATGAGACGAAAAGCAGCAGATGACTTCTCTGTAGCCAAATGATGAGAATACCCTAGGCAGATAAAAGAAAGTCACGAGGATGTCCTAAAAAAAAACTGACTACCGAAAAGAACTAATTACCAATATCAGAAGGAGACAATCTACATGCTTTCGTCATGTCACTAGAAGGAGAAACACTAGAGTATATTGTGACAGTGGGGCAGATGGAAGGGAAGACAGTCAGAGGAGGACCGAGAGAGAAATCGGACAGTTTGTCATCATGGCATGAAGGATCATTTATGTCAGATGGACATGCCTACCAAAGCCACGCGGCATGGACTTTAAGAAGAAAAATACCCACATGCCCGATGTGCCAGAGGCAAGAAAATTATCTGTACTTTCCCGGTGTGTATTTTGGGACCCCACTGAGAGTTAAAAAAAAAAAAAAAACACTGTCTGCCCAGGAAGCATGTGGACTAATCGTGGCTGAACCTCGAGGGGCAAGAGACCAAGAGTCTGTATAAGCCAGATTAATAAAGCGGTTGCACACATAAAGCTCAAGTTTTAGAACGGGACTAGGGTCCAGAAGCGGAGGCAGACGAACAACCGGAGCTTTCGCCGCAGGTCACAGCTGGTCAAGGCGAAGAGGATTCTCAACTTTAAAAAAAAATATATTATAATTACCTATATGGCCTTAGAAATAGAGTTTCTGTGACAAATAGAAAGGATACTAAAAAAAAAAAAAAAGTCCTCGATGCAAACTGAAAGCTAATTAGATAAATTGAACGGAGACAGTCAAGATTATTTCTTTCTGACCTGTTATGAAAGGAATTTTCGCCCACTGCCAGTGTCAAGACCGCATAAGAAGGGAGGAGGGTTAGGCGCTGAGCTCCTCCGCACTTTAAAATAACAACCTTGCAACAGAAACTCTCGAAAGTAGGCTATTCCAGTATTACAACGGAATGACAGAATCTACCGAAAGCCCTGTGTGACTTATAAATGCATTGTCTATGTGTGTTGTAAGATGATACAGATCTTCTTGCCCCAACGTTCCTTTTACCGTTCTCGATTGCGGCATTGTAAAGCATACTAGTTCTATTTCTCGTCTGGGCTGGCGGTAAAAAGGAAGGCGATGAGATGATAACGATGTTGATGAGGTGAAAAGGAATAAACTAGACAACTTGGTGACAACTGACAAAGCTTATGGTTAAAAGTGTGGCAGGATGATAAAATACAATGAAACATCAGGGTGTTAGTGTACCTGGATACGAGTTTTTCACGACAGGACGATACAACTGGCAAAGTTGATAGGAGAAGAGCAAAACAGTGACACTTCAGGATAAGAGTGTACCGGGATACGAGATCAAGCTAGCATTTTTGCTTCAGAGGTGAAGTCCAAGATGCGAATCTAATTACAAGAAATTATACACAACACACCGTTTCAAACGTTGCTTCAGAGTAACAGAAAGCATAAATTTCATACTGTGTGAATTTTGGTAAGATCATTGCAACATAGTGACCTGTCTGTGGATAAATCCTATGGTTTGTTTTCAAATAAGGCATTTAATAAGGCGAGATGCGGGCATGTTCGTGATTTGTACCTAAGTATGCAATGGTAGAATTTCAGGCACATTAGGACACTTTTGTTACCATTTTTTTCTTTCTTGGCTCTCAAATCGCCTGGCATTGGGACAGAAACATGGGAGGTTGTCGCACAAAACAGATCTGGATGGCGCAGTCCTAAAACACGGCACATCAGCCTGCTAGGCCGCGGAGGTTTGACTGGCAAAGAGAAGGAGGCAGGCTATAGACAGAACCGTGTGTGACAAAACCCCTCTCAACTGTTGTTTTCATCTTTTGTCCAAAACAGCTCAAGAACTTTCCAGGTTAATATTGGACTCAACAGCCATCTTCATGATCACAATCACTGATCATTCTCAAGTATGACTGTGAAGTGGTCTTCATCACCTGTGAAGGACCAACAAGAAACTCTACTTTTACAATCACTCATCGACTGATGCGACCAACGACGTCCTAGTGTTTTAGGAACCAGTTCTCTTCAACATTCAAACCGTGCAAAATGTCAGTCAAGGACCGGGGGTGGGGGGGGGGGGGGGGGGGGGGGGGTTAAAGAATGCCCAGGCTCAAACAGATCATCAAGGTATGGCAAGAATGGAGTGACCAGATCTATCGACACTCAACACTCGACGTGACTGTAACAATATTCCCAGTATTATGACGTCGGGTTATAACTGAACTCTTTCTATTTGCTTTTGACAGGATTTGTTTCTGGTTCGTCTCAGTACAAACCAGTGAATAAGCACTTCTCTACTGTTTATGATACAGCTCATTACTCACATAATATATATATATAGTGTGTGTGTGTGTGAAGTGAAACGCGAAGCTGTAAATGTACTATATACAATCAGCACTAAAAGCTTTTAGTTAAAAAACCCGTAGAGAAGATCATTGTGCAACCCTGGCTTATAATAAATCAAAAACAATTAGAGATAACAGATGAAGAACGACAATATTTCGGATAACACTGACGTCACTATGCTGTCTCGGCAGACTTCTTTGTAGACAACTAACAGAGACCACAACAAGCACAGTTAGGGGATCCATGTGTGGGTTCCAGTGCCCCATTAGGCGGGGTGGGGGGGGGGGGGGGGCAAGAACAGACCTACTAACCCCAAACAAGCGTGTCGTAAAAGTCGATTATTTAGCGGTGTTTCTTTTGAAGTCGGCGTGTGTCTGCTTGACATACGAGAAGCCAACGGTCTGCACACAAAAAAGCCGGATCTGTAAAACGCATGTGCACGCTAAACTCCAGTTCGGCAACAAGACTAAAGTCCAGAAGTGGATGAACAATCAAAACTTCCCACTGCAGTTTACAACTGGTGAACGTGATGAAAAAAAATAATGACAATCAACAACTACAATCAAGAGAGACTGCAACAACTACAATCAAGAGACACTGCAACAACTACAATCAAGAAAGACTGCAACAACTACAATCAAGAGAGACTGCAACAACTACAATCAAGAGAGACTGCAACAACTACAATCAAGAGAAGCAACCAATTACAATCAACAATCAAGAGAGACTGCAACAACTACAATCAAGAGAGACTGCAACAACTACAATCAAGAGAGACTGCAACAACTACAATCAAGAGAGACTGAAACAACTACAATCAAGAGAGTTGGCAATAACTACAATTAGGAGAGACTGCAACAATTACAATCAATAATCAAGAGAGACTGCAGAAACGACACTCAATAAAAACAAATACTGACATTCTAATTGATCTAACAACATTAAAGATTGGCTAATAAACAGCATCCTGTCTTGGGATCTGAAATACTTTGGCCATATCAAGCAACATGGCGGATGGGACACAAATAATAGAAGGCATGGTGGAAATGAGGTCCAGGGGTCGACCAACACGATGATGGGCAAAAGATTTCAGTGACTCCTTGCGTATGAAAGTGTATGAGGCGGGAGAGCTAGCCAGAGACCGAGCGCTTCCCCCCCCCCCCTCCCTCAGGCAGATGTGATGAGAGCGACGTTGTGCAAAGTACCTGCTACATGTTGATGATGCATAAATTCTTTGCCGAATCTTCAGATATCTAGCTCGATTCCCAGTCAGTTCAGACTGAGTACATAATATAACAGTTTGTATAGCTGGTAAGTAATGCACCAATGCAAACGGGAAGAAGTATGGACAGAGTTGATATCATCAACGGTGTGTTAGGACTAGGTTGGGAAAATAAAGGCGATCTCTGACGCCAAGACGACTGCACGACCGATGAGTTAAGCTTGGTGAAGCACGCCAGTAGTACAGAAGGGGCTATACCGTTTTCGAGGTAAAGACGTGAGATACTAAAACCAACTCCGCATGAGAACACCCAGTAGAGGTACCTTGGAGTGGCTGCTGCATAAGAGGACTGAGAACGCATGGGGATGCCCAACGTGCAAAGACATCGACTGGGATAAAATAATATAACATAGTTTATGCGTTCTGTGAAACGCAGACATATCAGCTGCGGGGAGAACCACTATACCAGTGAAAAATCACACACAATCAATGAACAGATACTGATGGCACCCTGTGGAAAAAAAGAAAGACGTTCCCAAACACCCCCTCCCTATTTTAATCCCCGAATCTGACGTACTAATTATTCCACGAACTTGACATACACTCCCCAGTTACTCCCTGAACCTGATATCCACTCCTCTCTTGACTCCCCGGACCTGACATTGTCCCTGAGTTAATTCCCAAAATGCGACATACCTGAAACCGACATATCTGAAAACGACATCCCCTCCCCAAGTTAATCCCCGAACCTCACATAGCCTTCATCCCCCCCCCCCCCCCCCCCCTTACTCAACAGATGCCGGAACTAGCTGATCCGGCCGGCAACCTCTTACTGGGGAAATCTCTGGCAAGTCATTAGCTAA